AAGGCTTGCTTTATAACAACTTAGCAACATTATATTAACTTAATATAATAAGGTATGAAGATTTGAATTTGTGGACCATATATCACATTACTCTATGATTGAGACCGCATCAGCCGCAATAAGATTATACTGTTCATTTCTCAGCAATTGTTACAGTGTGTAATTATTATTTCTCCGTACCATAGCTAAGTACGTGGGCCCTTATTATTATGCAATTAGCACTCTAATGAGTTGTTTGGCACGCATTCTGAACACGAGTTTCTTTTAATGAATGGTTGGTTTAAATAGTATATATATATCAAATTCTTGTTAAAATGGTTTTGAAGTTAAGTTTTGTATATAAAAACAATTATCAGAAAGAGTTAATTATATTATGTCGTAAATATTCTTGTGATTCAAACAAAATTATTCCTCCAATAACAAGTTGTGATCTATACTAAAAAATATATAACTTTCTTTGATATTGATACTTGGCACTGCAAAATCACTTTTAAACACCCAATTATTTATCTTGTGTGCTAAGCTGATAACCTGTTTGTTTAGAATTTCTTCTTGAGATTATCAAATCATTTTGACACAGTGTTTGCTCTTGTTTTTTTTTTGTATTGTGTGTTGTTTGACATGCATTAATTTCAGTTCCTCGACATTTTGTACAAACATAGCTAATTAATGACGTGCACATACGTAGCAAATCATTCTTTTCTTTGATTATACGAGAGTTGGTCTATTTTACTTTTTCATAATTAATTATATTACTTTTCATTGACCAATTTTAGCCATTCGTTATTAAAAAAAAAACGATGAATATTTTATGGGAAAGAAACCGAAAAAAATCTTACTGGAGAGGATCCACCTTGAATATATCATCATGTATTTTTGACTTCAAACATTAATTTCTCCATGAATAAAAAGAAAAGAAAAGAAAAGAAATACGTTGGATTCGGCAAACTTACGTGAAAATGATCACTTCTATGATATAGCCTGTGTTCTTTGACTGCGAAGAAACTATTTTGACCTACTTAGCCTTCTTCCATAAATTCAACTAATACTACTATTTTAATACTTTCTGATCGAGAATAAGATTGTACGACTACGTTTGAGTGTATAATAATGAACCCTAGCTAGGCGTATAGGACATTATGGAACTCTCCTTTAACATAGTTTGACCAACCTCACTGTGTTTTATGAAGAATTCAGAATCCTCGATCTGGAAAAAAGCAATAAAGAAAATCCCTAACTCCGTTAATATTTTAAAGATAAACTGCACTTGCATTTTTTTAATTTAATAAAATTTATTTAATATTTTTTATATTTCCATGATTCGATTGGACCACCGAATTAATAATAAATTATAAACCAGAGCAACCTTTACCCTTTTCCCCCTCGAACAGAATCTCTCGGTGATGGATAAAATGAGCTTTACCACAAGAAAAATCACTATGAACAATGATCTCACTCAGGTTTCTTATGCCATTATTTCAATATTCAACCCCTTAATCAAAACTGAGAGGTTAATACAGCCACTGCTGAGAATACAACAAGTTAGAGTTTCCTTTCATAATTCAAAATTGAACCCCACCTTCAAATATCTTTTTCTGAATTATAAAGACATCAATTACTTTGAATTAAACTATATTTACTGTTATTTTCTTGCTGACATAAAATATTTATATTATCTGAATTGTCTGAGAATTAACAAGAAATTCACTAATCCAAGATATATTAGGAAGAGCTTAATAATTAATTTTAATTAAAAGATTGAATTCCTTAATTTATGCAATTTCTTTTATTTTTAAACAAATAAATAACAGCAAGGTTATATTAACCAGTAACTGCCTTGTTGTTTGTCCATAAATAAATGTTACTTTTAGTTCTTCTTATAAAAAAAATTATTTTATTAAATCAAATAAAAGCAGTTGAATATCATAAATTTATATTGCATTTCAGAAATACTTATAATATTAAATAGTTAACATAATAATTTATGTATTAAATAAATAAAAAGTATTTACTTAGATAAATAATGGTAAGTACCTTGATTTTATAGATTTTAAGATATATAAAATATAAAAAACGATTAATACGTATGAAAATTAAATTTTATTTCTTATGTTTAGGAGGAAAAAAGAATAATGATAATTTTTTTTTTGAAAAAAAATAAAAAACTAGAACAAGTAAAATGTACAATCAATGATATAAGTAGCAGAGCGACACAAACGTTTAGGGTATATATATATATTATATAAGGTTTAATTACATAGTAGCCATACACTGCTATGAATGATTTTGAAAAGATTGCCTAAAGTTATTGGCAAGATTTAAAGAACGTGGGGAGTTTATTTTATGTTTGGAATGCTTTGAGTATTTTTAAAGATTTTTTATATATAAAACTTTAAATAGTTAGCTAGTATGAAAAATTAAATCAAGAAGAAATAAAAATAATTTTATTTGATATCATCTATTTTATATTTTAATCATATAGATTTCCCCACGAGCTAATTTCACAGTTTATTAATAATTCATGTATTCTGATTACGTACGTTACCATTGAAGTATCTCATCAATTATTTTCATATTTGTAATTGACACATCAACTTATAGCATTTTTCTTCAATATGACCTTTTCTATTCCTTATTTCCATACTTGCTAGTTTTAAGAAAATGTCTACAGATATTATTAACAAAAAAAAGAAAGTACCCCCTATTCCTAAAGTGGTCATTCACACTTACTTTATATATCCCATTGATCACTGAATTTGCAAAATTATAAGAAATAAAACTTTGGCAAGAACAACCACAAAGTCTGGTAATTTTAAAAAGGACAAAGAAACCCTACAAATTTTAATGGTCTGGCATACACAAATGACATAATATACAATGGATGCATTTAAGAACAAAAGAACGTGTCATTCCCAAATTTCAACTTTTAAATATCTTAACTTTTAAATATTTTACACACTTTTACACTTATCTGAACTTAACTTAACTGAACTCAAAAAAGTTTTGCGTTATTCAGTTTTCTAGTTGCTGGGCTAATATATAACATAAGTGAAAGATGCTGAAGTTTTAAAGAAATTGGAAGTTCTAAACTACTTAGAGGTTGAAGTTGTATATTATGTCAATGCCGATGAATCTACAATCACCAAACACTCCAATATGGTAGAGGAGTAGCCCTAGAGTATAAATAATTTCTTCAAATCTACTTAAAGGATATTTTTTAAAGCAACATTTCTTGTCTCTTTAACACACTCTTTTAAATACACTAATTTATTATTAGTTAAAGATTATTAAAAAATATATTAATTTTATTCCTAATTTAATGATTCAACCGTGTATTTTTATACATTTAAATGTATTTCATATTATATTGAGGCATGCTTAATTTATGTCGTGTTCATGCTCGATAGCAAATTTTGTCTTTTATACACTAAACAAACCTATTAAAATCAAACATTCTTATTGTTAAAAATTTGGAAACTAGAAGAGAGAATCACTAATAGAATCAATATAGTCAGAAATTTGGAGAAAATCAAATTTAACATGCTTCTAAGTACCAAATAATTGAAGATCAAGGCAGCCATGGGTCATAGTGTCATCTAAAAAAAAAAATAATAATAATAAATAAATAAATAAATAAATGACAAATATCACATGAAACCTAATTATCCTTTGTTTTTGTCCATATAAAACCAAATTAACTAAAAAGGCTTTTTTTGATAAAAGTATTGGCCCAATCTTTTTAACAAATTTGCCAGCGTCAGGCTAAGGCCCACAAGAGGCAGGATGGTTTTGATCCCATACATAAATTGAAGATGGTTTGTTTTTCTTCATTTTACGTCTTATTTTACTTCGCTGCATTGAGACTAGTTTTTAAAATTTTACCAAAAAACAAAGGGGTTGCTTTGTTGACTGTTTGCTCATTTACTCTTTTTTTATAAAATTTTTGTTTGATAAATACCTTTATTATTAATAATAAATATTTTTAAATTAATATAACAATGACCATCTTCATAATTTAATATAGGCAATTATGTTTCTCAATTGTCAACACTGCTGGAATTGTTTATATGTTAGTGATAAAATTATTTATTTGTTAAGTTTAATTTTTTTTTTACTTTAAATATCTGATGTACTTTTTTTTCCATGTTAAAGGGATGTTAACAAAATTTAAAATTTTCAGAATATTTAATTTTGTATTTTCTGAAATTAAAGTTTCAGAAATTATAATTATAAGCTTATGAAATTTTAATATATTTATTTATTTAAAACAATAAGCTTTAAAAAAAATCAGTGTTTATTTTTCTGAATAAATACATTATTTATTTAAAATAATATAATTTCAAAACTAAAATGAAAAGATTGTAAAAAAACTGAATTATGTTAACATGCTGTAAAAATAATTATGGATGCAAAGTTATTAAGATTTGTTAGCAAATCTCACCTAAATTCTATAACTTGTGCAAAATGTGCGTTGACATGCATCAAAATATTTTCCGTAACGAATACGTCGTTATTTCTTTAATACTAATAAAATATTTTTTTAACATATTCTTTATTATCAGACTAAATTTTAGAAAAATTCTATTTAATAGTGTGTAATCCAAATAATTTAATGTATACATTTCATCTTAATAATAAAAGCATGAAAATATTTTAGTTAAAATCATGTTTAAATTGTATGATTTATTTATTTTTAATAAAATGCTTTTAGTGTTTTCCAAAATTAGAAAAAAATATTCTTTAAAATGTTACAAAAAGCTTTTTTTTTTTTTCCAAACTTATAAAAAAATCAGCCCTATTTTATATCAAATCATGATATGCATTCCAATGATATTATTTGTCAAAATTTAAATAAATAAATTACTATCCGCAAATTCAAATAAATAATAAATAGTGATTATTAATGGGAGATAGAGGTATATCATAAAAACAATACAAAAATTTATTTAAAGTAAAAATCTAAATATTCATATAAAATGAATATTTTGGCTGCGAAGGGCAAAGCTCTGCTTTCACTCTTGCAAGCTCATTCCCTCTCTCTCTCTCCATCTGATTCCAAACCCTCAATTTTTCCGAAGAAAAACCCTTCAAATTTTTCCTACCATCCAAACACACTCACAAAGTCACAAAACCCTAAGCTGAAACTTTGTGCTCTTCCATTCCATGGATCCTCCTCGCCGAGCTCCACGCGCCGTGATCGACCCCGTTCCCAAGTTCCGACAAGTCGGGTTCTTCGCTCCCGGAGCTCCACCAGAACGATCTCAGTCGGGTCCACCCGACCCGACTCACTCTGCTGCTCCAATCTCCGATATCTCTCCCTCCGGCAACTCTCTCTCGCCGGTCATGATCCCGCCGCCGCGCCACCTCTCCGATAATCTCCTCCTTCACGCTCGTCCTGCCGCTTCTCCTCTTCGCGCCGAGTCCATCGCCGCCGCCGGAAGCTCCTACGATGCTTCCGATTTCTTCCCTGCTCCTCTGTCGCCGGCGCCGTCGTCCTCGTACTCCAGCAGGATCGCCGGTGCCGCCGATGGAGGCTTCTTCAACGGCGGCAAGGGGAACAATGCCGGAAAGGTGGCTGCGTCGTCGTTTCCTCGCGGAGGATTCGACTTGACGGCGATGAAAGCGAGTGTCGTTCCGGCGAGCAAATTGACCACTGTTTCTGTGGTGAATGATTCGCTTGGGATTCCCGGTTAGCTTCTTAGTTGTTATCTTTGTTGATTTTGATTTGGTTTGACACTCTACGGCTAAGTTTGAATTTGAACTGGTTTTGGATGAGAAAGAGTGGAGAATATGTATTGAATTTGAATTTTATGGAGTTTAATGTGAATTGTGAAAGTAGAAAGTTGGATTTTAGAGATTCAATTGAGCTTTTGATTCATTACATGAGAAACTATGTAAGAAGCATGGACTATTATGTAGTATGAATTAGAGATAGAAAGTGAGAACCATCATTAATATACGTTTGGATTTAGAGTGTGTATAGGGTCAGGTTCGTCAGAAGTAATTTAATTAGTTTCATGAAGGGAAAGAAGTAATGTCTATTGAGTTTGTGAATTTGACTGTTACATTACATGCTTAAAAGGAAGGATCTTGTTTGAATCCTTCCAATATATACCTAAACTGATGTTTACTGGAAATGGAGCAAGAGGTTTCTTTTTATAACTTTAAATGGAATATATCTTTTGTCGTTTTGCCACATGTTGGAAACTTCGAACTAATGATTAAAAGTTTTGAATTGGCCTGACTTGCTTCTTACCAATGTACATGTGGATGTCTCTCTAAAGAGAACAGTTTAAACTTTAAATTATTTGTTGCCATTTATGGTCTGAGTTTGTTTTCTTTTTGGCTTGATTTTGGTACACTTTTCTTCATCTTCTTCTGTAATCCCCATTAGAAAAAGAAAAGGTAAACAAAGGAGGAGGGTCAGCAGTGGAAATGAAAGACCAACCTACTAGTTCAAAACAGCAGAAACCAAAAACCTCAAAAGCTGAAAGACGTGCTCTTCAAGAAGCTCAACGAGCTGCAAAGGCTGCTGCAAAAGGTGTGTAATTGTTAGTATGTCCACTGATTCCTCATTTAAGCTATCAGACATATTCTGACTGAAAGTGCTTTTACCATGGACATATTATCTGTGATTATGTGCTCATCTTTTTCCCTGATGCTATTTATGCCTAATTCTTCATCAGAACTACAGTTAAGTGTTCATCAACTATAATACTGTGTTTTCTAGTGATCCTAACATGCCTAAAAGTGGGATTTTGTAATGTTCTTTCATGGATCCCTTTTCTGCACAAATCATTTGGATAATGCTATAGCTTTTAATAAAAATCTGTCACCAGCTGAAGGAAATAAGGCATCTGGAACTCCAACTTCAACAACCGCAAAATCAGCTAAAGCTGCAAAGCCTGCCCAGAAAGTTGATAATTCAGTGGTTGCAGCCTCTGAGAAGAAGGGGGGTGATTGTCCACCAGAAAAGGATAGAAAGAAAGATGCTCCCCAACCACGCATGCAGTATGATGACAGGAGCCGAGTGGAGAAAGCTAAACGTCGTGCTGTGGTTAAACAAACTGAAGCTAGGAACAGAGTTGAGTTGTTCAGGCATTTACCACAATATGAACATGGGAGTCAGCTTCCAGAACTTGAGGCAAAGTTTTTCCATCTTTCTCCCGTGCATCCTGCTGTTTATAAGGTATCTATGTTTTTATGCTATTTCTTCTTGTTAAAAATCCGAATTTTTGTTGTTTGATACTTTGATTTGTATGCTACAGTTAATTTTGGGTTATAGTAATATATTTAAATGTAATATGTTTTGCCCTGAGCATTACAATGCACAACAGCACTGTGAGCCCTTTGCAAAAACCATATGCAGCAACATATTTCACTTGCAGTAATAACTCTGAACTGAACAGTTTTTTCAATAGGTGAGATCAGATGGTTCATTGATAGTTTATTAAAACTAATTCCTTTACTCAATGAAGGAGGCACAGTCTTGACCTCATGGGTTATATTTCAGATAGTATGCACTATGCTGTGCTACCTTCATTCCTTTGGTTTCAGTAACAACAAATGGAGGGGGAATTAAAAGAAAGACCAAGTACTGCTTGATTTGTGCAATAGTATAGTTTATATAGCTCCAATTTTCTAAATTTGTAAAGTAAAAAGAATATTTGAAAATTGCATGATGCAATTATCAATTTTATTGGCTGGTATAATGCATTACATTGTGTTGCCTATTATACTGTCTGTATTTGCACGGAGATACTTCATGAGCCAAATCATGATTAGAACTTGTGATGTTTTACTGTCCAGAACCCTGTTCAATATGTTTTGTGAACTCAACCTTTGTAATACATCTTTTCTCATTATCACCATTGTGTTTTCCAGGTGGGTTTGCAGTATCTATCTGGAGATATATCTGGTGGTAATGCTCGTTGTATTGCAATGCTTCAAGCATTTCAAGAGGCCATCAAAGACTACAAGGTTCCACTTGAGAAGACTCTTGTGAGAGACTTAACAGCAAAAATTAGTAGTTATGTATCATTTCTTATTGAATGTCGACCTCTGTCAATCAGCATGGGAAATGCAATTAGGTTTCTCAAAAGTCGAATAGCCAAGCTACCATTGACCCTGTCTGAGTCAGAAGCAAAAGCATCTCTCCAGTCAGATATTGAGCGTTTTGTAAGTGAAAAGATTATACTTGCCAACAAGGTGATAGTGAAACATGCTGTCACTAAAATAAGAGATGGTGATGTTCTTCTAACTTATGGGTCGTCATCGGCAGTTGAAATGATACTGTTGCATGCACATGAGTTAGGAAAACAGTTTCGTGTTGTGGTTGTTGACTCTCGTCCAAAGCTTAGAGGGCAACTTTTACTTCGCAGGCTTGTGGAGAAAGGTCTAAGCTGTACATACACGCATATAAATGCTGTTTCCTACATTATGCATGAAGTTACTCGTGTTTTTCTGGGTGCTTCATCAGTGTTATCTAATGGAACAGTATATTCAAGAGTTGGAACTGCATGTGTTGCAATGGTTGCTCATGCATTCCGTGTACCTGTCATAGTATGTTGTGAGGCCTATAAATTTCATGAAAGGGTACAGCTGGATTCAATATGCTCTAATGAACTTGGTATGTATATTTAATGGTTATAGATGATGAGGATTCTATTTACAGTTTACCATTGGTTTCTTGCCTTGCATTTGTATAAGAAGCTCGATGTTTCTTCGGTGTTGTCACAGGTGATCCAGATGTCATTTCAAATGTTCTGGGTCGAAAGGATGTCAGCCACTTGGATGGTTGGGCCAATATGGAAAATCTGCAACTTTTGAATCTGATGTAAGCAGTTATATAGATAAAATACCACACCAAATTGTCATATCATCACTCTAACCTTGCAGTTGTCTCTAAATTGATGGCAGTTATGATGCAACCCCTTCAGATTATGTTTCAATGATAGTCACAGATTATGGAATGGTAAGTGCTGCAATTCTTAAAAGGGACTTTTATACCTGCTGCTAAAACATCCTAAAATGCATTTGATCCTGGCACCTTATAGTTTGCATCGCATCTAACTTATCGAGTGCAGAACTTCTGTTTCAATGTTGGTTGGTAATGATTCTAAGTGACGATCGAAATACCAGTTTACACTACGCTATGAACCTAAAAGAATAATATAAAATACAAAGCATTTTTTTTATAATTTCCCTTACTGTAAATATTTAAGCAAGAATAAACTATTGAAAAGAAGTGAGGGGGACATTAGAAGAGAAGAGGTATATAAACTATCCCTTTCTAAACTAGTTTCATGCTTATAACATCCATCGACCAAGCCCCTCGTCCCAGTGATATAATGCATGCTTTAAAAAAAAAAATCAGGGCTTTATCCTTTCACGTTTTTCACTTTGTAGATCATGATTGCTTATGAATATATTTTGGATGACATTTCTACTTTGGCAGGTGCCCCCCACAAGTGTGCCTGTAATTGTAAGAGAATATGGGAGAGAACAAATCTGGATATAAGTTTTGTTAATTTTAACCATCTCAGTTTTGTTGGCGTGCAAAATCCCTATTTAGCACCCTGGTAACAATAAATTTAAGATGGTTGTGATGAATGTTTCTGTATTATTTTCCCACCTCGGAATAATGTAATGGGCCTTTTTTGTTCTGAAATTTTGGACATTTCTGTATTCACCTGTCCTAGCGAAGAGTGCAAAATTTCGCCTCTCCAGGCAGATTTAGCCATGCATTCTCTTCTGTAACAGTGTTTTTTTGTTCTATTGTTCTTTACCTTTTGGATGATTATGAGGTCACAATTTTGGTTTAGCAAGTTTTAGTTGTGTTTAGCCCCTTCTTTGGATACTTATGACAACCATCATCATGAATTGAAGTTGTCCCTGAAAATGTGTTTTCAGTGTGGTTGCTCTAATTGTCGGAAATATAGAAAATGGTTGCTTGAAAACATAGGCCACGGTATTATTAGATACTTTGTTGCCATTAACCCTTTTGTTTGCTGAGTATCAAGCTGGCAAGGTATAATTTCAACTCATAATTTGTTTCTTACTCCTGGGTGAAGTAAACAGATACCGCGGACATTAATTGAATCTCATCAGATGCAAGCTTATGAAAGGTGTTATTGAATTTACTGATAAGTGTTATAAAAGAATGAAAAGTATCAAACAGAAAGAATGTTAAATTAAAAAAAATATTTATGAAGTTTTGTTATATGCTGTAGTTTAACCTCTAAATCTTGCTTGACTGTGTTATAAATCTATTCAAATACTTTCACCATTACCTTGTTATTTCATCTAGCTTGTGTCAGTAAAAAATGTCAATGAAAATGTAAAAGCAACAACGAAAGATGTCTAATTCAGAAAAATGTGATTCTTAATTAGTTACATCAACTGTTCATCATGAATCCCGATCTCATGCAATTTAAAAATAAATGTAGAGGACCTCAAACTTTGCAAGTGTTGTTTTCTTTATAAAATCTTGAAAAAATGGAGTTAAATGAGCGACAACGAATAGATGACACCACATGCAGTTCTATTTTAAACTGCATATCATGCGGATTCTTTTTTTGTACTTTCATACTGTTTCTACGAACAAATATTATTCTGTGTTCAAAACAAACATCGGTTGTAATGATGTGACAGGTTGTTTACCTAAATTATGCTATTGTGAAATGAATATTACACGTCATAGTTAACTGGTTGGAATTTCTGATTAACTATCCCTCTGCAATCTTCACAGAAAAAACAGAGAATGGGAAGTGATTTTCCGAAGCTAACTAAGTGAATTTATTTTTTGGTCTGGAAAGCTCACTAAGCGATGAACAATGCCAATGACACTACTCTTCATTAATGGATCGCTCCTCCCAGAGACATTTCCTTCCTTTGGTTAGTTGACGGATCTTAAGGGCCTCTCTACTCCATATTGAGATTTTTTTTTCGCAACTCTCAATTTTTTATTTACACATTTAATGCCCTTTTTTAGTGCTTTTGAAAATTAAATTCTAAAAATAATTTGTAAATCACTTTTAAAATTTAACTTCTGAGTTTAATACATTTTAAAAGTTAAATTAAAATAATTACAACTTACTTTCAAAATTAATTTTCAAAAAAATATTTCAAAATCAAATTTCAAGATAAAAAAGGTGTGTGGGTGTAAAAAGAAAAAGGGCCCAAAATTTCGAGATAAATTTGGGTAATTAATATGCACGAAAAACATGGATATTCATTAGTATAAGGAAAGTGATCATATTAAATGAAACAAAATTAAACATGTATATACGTTTAATGAGTTTGTTAATACATCCATCTGACCTTGTATAAGAAGATACAAATGTTCATGTTTCTCAATTTTGGAATTATAGATCCAATATATAGTTACTCGTTTCCTCTTATGGCATCAGCTTTACCATAAGGTGGCGTAACAATTCCAAGAATAACAAAGCCACCTAAAATGACTATTAAAATGCCTAAGGAATTGACCAGCAGAGCTTCATTGGAATAGCGTGAGATGATCTGGTTGGCCTGAAGGAATGTAGCTTTTTCTAAAATACCAGTAGCAGTAGTGGCTATAGCCAAGGCATAGATATAGATCCCAAAGAACACATGCCATGGCAATAGGGTAGCTCTACTATTTCTTGAGCCTCCTGGGTACCAAAATGTTGCAAAGCCAGCACCCCACTGATACAAATCATAGCAAGCAATCAGAAACATGGAATTCAAGTTTTGAGGTAGAATTGAACAACTTACAAAATGCAACTAGAATAATAATAATAATAATAAGGGTAAATAACGTTCACACGCCCTGATATTTAACAAAATTTCACCTAATACCCTTTTTTCTACCCTATATAAACTTTCCTTAATGTATGTAAATAACATATCACCACATACCCCTCTCGATTACACAAACTATCCTTGATTTCTTATGCAATTATAAGAATTAGGAGAGCTTAAAGTAATGTCAAAAAGGGAGGAATATTGGGTAAAAATTTGTTAAACCTCAAGGGATGTGAATGTAATTTGTCCTAATAATACAGATACCTGGATGGAGAATAGGAAAAGGCATGCAAGGCCCAACCATGAATGCAGGCTGTAGAAATTGTCAATGCCTTTGTCAATGTGAAACTTCCAGGCAGCCCAGACACCAATTAAACTCAAAAAGAGAGCAACAAACTGTAACGCGAGATGAACTGCTTTTTTGAAGTTTTTAGTTCCAGACACTGTCTTGTATGCAAGCATCCCTTCACATTGCCATAAGAAACACATAAAAGAAGTTACATGATGTTCAATCCTTACCAACAATCAAGGGATAGTAAAGAAGAAACATTATTAAATCTATGACAATAAGTTCATTTGACTTGGGAAGTTACATTTTCATAAAAAGTTTTATGAGCAAGCCCATCTTCTGTCTCTTGTTAGCTTAGCAGTTAGCAGAACAAGGACCAGCTTGTTTCATTTTAATTTGAACTCTGCAGTTTCTTTTTGGGTAGGAGGGCTCTACTAGTTCTAGGGCTTCAGATACCAAAAGTAATCAAAACAAATGATAGGAAAAATGATTTTGTCCATTTTCCCAGGTGTCACGATGAAGTGGAGCGTTTTATGGACACAAATTACGGCCCTCATGCTGCCATGTAAGATACACCAATAAGAACAGAAAATAGGGATAACTTATTAGCATGAGGGCTGTAATTTGTGTAATCAAAATTTAAAATGTATATTCCCAAGACAACAGTGAAGATTATTCAGACTTTCATATTGATCTACTATTCAGATTTTTGCTATAAAAATAGGCTCCTAGGTAGTATTTCACAAAGGACGGGATTCATAAAAGGAGATAACAAACAGATATAAATCTTATTTGCACTCTATGTATTGTTATCTTTAGAAGAGCTAGAACAATCTCATATAATCCAGAAACTTCACAATCAAACGAGAACGATTAACAAGCCTAGGTACACGTAAAATGCTTCTTCATCTTCAAAATGAAGGGAAGCACGATGTACAAGTCAAAGGCTGAGTTTTCTCATATTATTTGTTGCAATTATATAAAGACAGAGACACACCCAACTAGATTTTACTCCAATCAGTCCAACCCCTCAAAAACTATTTTTTATCTATCATCTCCTAATGATTACTCCAATTTCCTGACCTCACACATTTTCACCTAGCTGCAATAGTTATTGAGATCTTAGCATTCTTCAGTGCAAGATTACCACAAAAATAAAAATTCAGAAAGAACATTTACCTTCACCATTGATTAGAACAAGCCCAATCACCATCAAAACCGGATGGACCTAGATGGAAAAAAAAAGGGTTTAATTTGAAACCACACAAGCAATCCAAATGCATTTGCTCAAAACATTAAACAAAATGTGCAAAAAACTTGGAGCTAAAATTAAAAATAAAAAAAAATTCATAATCACACACTCAAAATTATAATACCCTTTTTAAGTTTCTCTTGAAAAAAATAAAATTGTACCAAAAAAAAAAAGAGAAAAGATGGGATACCCATACCCCAAAAAGGAAAATTAAATGAATTAAGAGAGGGTTACATTGAAGATGAGATCTTTGTTGTCAGAAACGAGAGCGAGGCCTCCCCTGTAATGAAGAGCCCATGTCAGCAGAAGAACAGTGACGGCCACGCCGACACCTCTCACCGCCGTGAAGATCGGAAACCTCACCACCGGCGGACCCGCCATTCTATCCTTTGCTTGAGAGAGAGAGAGAGATTGTGTGTGTAGAGAGAGAAAGAAAGCGTTGAATGTTGAATCGAGAGAGCCAAAGGCAAAAAGAAGAAAACTGAGAGCATATATTAAGATTATGGACAAAGAAAATGTGGGTCAGCTTTGCATACTGCGCTACATAAATTTGTACTTCAGTTGCTTCCCACACCAGAAAGTAACTTCACATTTAGAATTCATTTTCATCAAATTATTTTTTAATTATTAAACATAATTAACAATTGAAATGTGTATATATCTTTTATTTAAAAATGAAGGAATTAATTTTTTATATTTTTTTTATAAACAAAGTTACAAAACCAATTCTTTTATTAAAAAATTGGTTTTTTTAACTTTAAAATAAACCAATTCTTTTATTAACTTTGTCAATATTTTAAGATTTTTATTTAAAATATGTAATAATTTTTAAGAAATATTTTGTTAGAAAATGTGGATTAAGATTATAAGGAAAGTAATATTTAATTTTTTTATGTATAATTGAACTTATTAAAAATGATATATATGTTTATTTTTTCTTTAAAAAATAGAGTATGAGATCTTAATCATATGACTATGAAGAAAATGAATAATAAGATTACTTTTAGTTTAGTTTAAATTAAAAAAAACGTTTACTTCTTAAAAATTATTTAAAAAGGTAAAAATAAATAAGTAATTTTTTAAAATAAATAAAATTACTTACGTACTAAGATAATATAAAAATAATCTTGATTATTTATGTATGATTAAATTGAAGAAAAATAAAAAAATAATTAATTTGGTTGTGTTTTGGGTCATTAATGTCTTACTTATCGGTTCTAAAAATATCATGAAAAAAGAATATGTATGGTTAGCTTTAAAAATAGAGAAGAAAGAATTAGTTTGAATATTTAATTTCTTACTTCTGGAATTCAAGAATCAGGAATGAATTTAAAGGGTGTGAAGGTGGTCCTCACCTTCTCTTTATTTTATATGGAATTTAATTTTTAAAATAAAAATTATTAACTATTAACTTGATAAAATACATGTTATGTTATTAGTAAGTAGTTATAGGGACAATTTCCAAAAAAATATAAAAATTAAAATTAACTAAAAAAATTTAAAGATTCAAATTAAATATATTAATTTAGACTAAAAATATTAGAGCACTTTTTTTTTTAATTTATGAAAGAGTGATTAGTATAAGAAATAATTTATTTATTTTTGTTAATTTTTAATGGTATGCACTACCTTAAGCAAATGTGACACTTATATTTTACAAATCAAATAATTTTTTTTTTAATAAATAGGACTAAAAGCTCAAAACAACACACAAGCCTAGGTAAACACTCTAGGCTAAGAAACATCGAAAGAATCAAGCATTAACAGTAGATCAAGGGAAGGAGGAGTCTTAGAAAAATAAGAAGAAGACATACCAACTTCGAACCCATACTTAGCCAGTCAATTAGACAGTAGTTGGCCTCTTTCAAAATATGGCTTAGCCTAACAAACTTAATTCTCCTAAAGAGGTACCTAATTTTATCAAGGGTAAAAAATAACGGATGAGCACTACTTTGAACATTAGCTACTTAGGAAATGATATCCTTATAATCACATTCAACCCATATTACATTGATAAACCTAGAGATAACAATCTCAAGACCCCAATAAATTCTCCATAATTCTACTGTAAGGGGAGAACAAGGTGGGATAAAATTCAGCCAAGAAAGTTCCCTTATGATCACGCAATAGACCCTTGCAACTAGCACCATCAGAAGAAAGAAAAGCAGCTCCATCAGTGTTCGACTTAAATTGGTCCAGTAAAGGAGGAATCCACTTAACAAGACTTTTAGGCTCCAAGCTACTAGCAATATGATTCGGGTTGCCTTTGTCACAAAACAACAAACAGTCAAAATCATGAATTATTTTGTTCAACAAAACATCATTAGATAAAGGGGAATTTTGAAAAACCACACAGTTTCTATTACACCAAAGATTCCAACTGATTACACCAAACAATTTACTCCAAAAAGGAAACAAGGGAAAATTGCTGCTAGATAGATTAAATCCCAGCCACTTATGAAGGCCAAGATTGAAAAAGAAGACCATTTGTTAGGGAGGATGAATTGGTTCCAGATCTAGGAGGCACACTCACAATCTCTGAGGACATGAACTACTGTTTCAGGAGCCTCAAAACACCTAGAACACAAAGGAGAAGAAGACATTTTGCAAATATATCTTTTATTATTGGTAAAGAACTTACCAGGAGCAATTTTTCAAAGAAAAACATTAATTTTTAGGAGTCCTTCCCAATCCCAAACTAATTTAAAAATATAGTTATTATCCTGCCCACTTAGGATATGACCAGAAATAAGACTATAAGCCGATTTGATTGAAAAAATACCATTAGTAGACAAATTCCAAAAAAATTGGTCCTTATCCTAATTCAAAATAGGGGGATCAATACTTGTAATAGAGTTACAAATAGAGGGAGGGAGGACCTGATGAACTCTATCCCAATCCCATCTACCTTGAAGAACTAAAGTAGCCATAGGTTCATTCAAATCTTCTCCAACAATAGGTTAAAGAGCATACTGTGATAAATCCTAGTGATTTGAAAGCCAATTATCCTTCTAGAATCTAACATTCATCTCATTCCTTGAAGACCAGCCCAACTCCTGACAGAAGGAACCCCAGACTGCAATCATAACTTTCCAAAGGGGGGAGGTTTTTTTTTTTATTGTTATTAATCACATAAATTTTGCCTAAGGAAAACTTATACTTCCTACGTATGGCCTCAGCCCACAACTTAGTATCACACGAAATGAGTCTCCACCAAAGCTTCATGATAAAGGCTTGATTAAGTGAAGCAACACTTCTAAAACCCAAACCACCTTTACTCTTAGGTTTACAAATTTTCTCCCACCCAATTAAATGACATTTTTTATCTCCCAAAGATCTCCAAATAAATTTTTTACAAATAATATCTATTTCGTTACACACAAATTTAGGAAAAGAATATTTTGCATAAAATAATTAAGGATGCTCATAAAACAAGATTAAGTAAGGGTAATTCTACTAGTCATGGATAACGAATTCATTTTCCAAACAAATAGTTTTTTCCTAATATTATCAATTATGAATACAAAATCATGCCTTGAAAATTTCATATGACTTATTGGGACTCCAAGATATTTTTCAAACTGAGAGCAAAATTTAAAAACAAGCTTAGTACTCAAATCCATAAAAAGGCCAATATCATAATTTTTGAAAAAATACACAAAAGTTTATCTTTATTAATAGAGAACCCAAAAGCAAAACAGAATTTCAAAACCTCATAAATAACTTCAACATTTAGACTATCAGCTTTAACAACCAATATAATATCATCAGCAAAAAATAAATGAGATACACTAGGACCCATATATATTGCTAATATAGAAGAGAGTCCAACAACCACTATTAATTTTATCCTGAATAAGATGTCAAATAAATGATAAAAAGAAAGATAGATGAAACAAAAATAACTATTAATAAAAAGATAAAGAATAAAAGTAAATATATAAGTTGTTAAATAATTATAATTTTTATTAAAATAATAAGTATTATTATAAAATTTTGATTTGAATCTTCAGAAGTAAATTCTTTTTGAGATTTTTATTGTAGAAAAAAAAATCAATTTTATGTTCCGTTTGTCCAATTCAAATGTTTATTAATTGTATTTTTTATTGATCAATCATAGCCATTCAATATAAAATTAATAATTAATAGTCAAAATTTTATTACCTGTTTTACTAAAGATATATATTTGTTTGTTGAAAGTCAATATAGTAGTTAAGTTTTACTACATGTAACATATGCAATGTGACAATTCAAACACGATTATGTCATAATAAAGAACAATTATTGTTGTTTGATAATTTAAAATCTCATTTTTGAGAGTATGATAAAATTATTTAGAGGTGTGTGTCTACATATATAACAAATTTAATGAAAATGTTAAAATTGAAATTTTTAATTTATTTTAAACATGTTTCATAACCTCATACAAAGTGTGGTTTGGTTGAAGCTTTGTTAATTGTTTTGTAAAGGTTGGAAGCAAAGTGACTTGTACAGAGTAAAGCTTTTCGCTGGTTGAATGGTATTAAAAAGGCATTCTGCTTTAAGCAATGTACGATTCTTTTTCTTAAAAGTGAGTCTTCAATGATTCTTTTCTTTTTTTTTATCCCAATTATTTGCATTTAATATATTTTTTAATAAAAATTAATTCATGAGTGTATAAACATTGTGAATTTATATTTGTAACATATAATTTTGTTAAAATAAAATATTATTTATATTACTTCACTTACCATTAGATATAAATTAAATAAAAGACTTAAATTGAGTGTAAATTTTTTTTAAACTTACACTATAAGAAGGCCATTCTATATATATATATATATATATATATATATAATTTAATTTTTAATTTCTTCGTAATAAAAGATATTTGTATATATTTATTTTCTTATCATTTCTGCTATATGAAGATATGTGTTTGTCTTTTTTTTTTTAATAAGGTTTTATTAACTTAAAGTTTTAACACTAAGTTTAAGTAACCAAAAATAATAAAATTTTATTAAAAATTAATATTTTTATTATATTAAATTTATAAAATAAGATAAATATTAAAAAAATATATAAAACTTACTGTATTTTAAATGTTGAAACTCAGCTTTAGAAATTGAATTAACATTGTTTTTAAAAAATATCCATGTTTTGTTAAGTTTAGTATCAATTGGTTAACTCTCATAAATGGAAAGACATCTTATTATACATTAAAAAATCAAAGGTATATTGATATTAAAATTAATTACAACTTCATAGCCTTCTAGTCCAAGGTTATCATCACCTACCTTAAGTCATGTTGCAGTTATTTAAATTCCTTCACAACTCATAAAGCAAGATGCCTGAAGCACACAGCTAGTTACAACATGGCCAAATTTACAACATCAAAATTAGGGATATCACTAGATGCACTCATAAATTATAACCATGGCTAGGAAGATAAAATAAAATAAAATAAAATAATGATATACAAATAATATAACTCTATTTTATTCTAGCTCTCCCTGACTCTGCAGTACATATCAAAATTAAGTTACATATCAAAATTAAATTTTCACGAAACTTTTGTAGGCTCACTTCAAAAAAAAATTGGTGATATGATAATATAAAATGTCACAAATTATATTTCTATATGAACCATGCATTTGTATTTAATTTGTATCATATTTATTAAAAACAGACTACACATAACTGATTACTTTAAAAAAATTTAAAGAAAGAACATGGTTTAATTCTTATAAAAATAATGTTGGTATATTGTTATCAAACATAACATATGCTATTGTCATCAAGAATGTAAATCAACTAATAGAAGGTTATTATAGTTTAATTTGTAACTTTATGTTTAAGTTTTAGTAAATACAATCGTGTTAAATATTTAAAAAATTTATTAATCGTATTAATCGTAATATTTTTCTTTAATTTGAACATGATTGTCTATTTTCAATAAAAAATATTTGTGATATAAATAAAATTATTTATATTGAATATGTAAAAATTTAAGAACGTACTTTAATTATGAAGTTTTGCTAAACATTATTAATTATACACTTGTTTAATTAATTTATAATTTATGTTACAACTCAATAATATTTTATTTAGTTTTATTTTATACAATTTTAAGTAATCTTGTTATTTAATGGTAATATTGTAACTCGTCCTCAATGCTTAGCTTCTTGATATTTTCCTAGTGAAAAAACTTTATATAATCAATGTAGAAGAGAGTGTATTTAGTCATTTAGGAAGAGTAGGTTTTTGTGACTTAATCAAATATTCTCTTGGATATGAATTTTAGGTTTTCCATGTTTTTATGATATTTCAATTAGTCTTTATGTTGAACTTATTATTATTATATATATGCTCTTTGATTAGCTTCTCAACTCAAATTGAATAATTCTAATATTTCTTTATCTTTGAATACTCATAGTGCATAAACACTACATCTTCATGCACCTCTAGTTGATATTATTAGAAATTCCAATTCTAACAAGTGGAACCTTTCCTTTTTTTTATATTTTTGGTTGTGTCTGAAACTTTTCCTTTATCAACACTCTTTGAGAAAAAAAAATAATGTCCAGACTAATGTGTTAAGTATCATGTCTTATTGTTAAATATGCAGATATTCTCTCCACCAAATAGTTCTAAATTATAAATATTTTATTAATCTAAAACTATAACTTTTGAATACGAATTAACTCCAATTTAATCCAAATACTTTCAAATAAAGTTATTATTCAACAAAACACAAACAATAATAAAATCTAACTAGACATAATCAAATCTAAAAAAATAAAGCAAAATACAAATAAAACCCCTAAAACAATTCAAATCAAATCAAAATCCTTAAATAATAAGAAGATAATAATCCAACCATTCAGTCACATAATCATCGCTTGACATTTAGCCTCAAAACACTACCGACCATTTCTAGACATCAACCTTTCCAAACAAATAAACAAAGCTTCAACCCCATTCATAATCCCATAACTTGGTTACAAAAATAACTAATACCCCCAATGATGTCCCAAAAAATTACAATGTCACCGTTCAGAAAATTTTCCCCAAATTCATCTCATCCACCCTCTTCAACAAAGCCTTGATGATGTTCTTTCACCTGGACCTGCAACACAGAAAATGGGTGAATCAAATTGGGACAATGAAGGAATGGGATATATCTTTACTTTAAGTAGTTCACTCTTGTGGATGAGTATCAGAAACATTTGACACTCCACTGCAACTGCTACCCACTCTTTTGGATCTCAAGGAGAAAATCTGGGCTAAAACCCTAATCACATTCAGAAATTTTCTGCCAGTAAATTACAATGTCACCGTTCAGAAAATTTTCCCCAAATTCATCTCATCCACCCTCTTCAACAAAGCCTTGATGATGTTCTTTCACCTGGACCTGCAACACAGAAAATGGGTGAATCAAATTGGGATAATGAAGGAATGGGATATATCTTTACTTTAAGTAGTTCACTCTTGTGGATGAGTATCAGAAACATTTGACACTCCACTGCAACTGCTACCCACTCTTTTGGATCTCAAGGAGAAAATCTGGGCTAAAACCCTAATCACATTCAGAAATTTTCCAATCCAACCATGAGACAAACAATGGCTACGAGATGTTCGTGCCAAATCAGACAAAACCACATCAAATTTCTGCCAGTAAATGGATGGAATATATGATGCGGAACCGAATTTTATCAATTGGAAAACTATGATGACCAAATGTGAGCTATTTAAATTAGAGAGATCAAAATTAAAGTAAATTTGTAACTAAACCTACTCTATAGAATCTTTTAAAAAAAAATAAAATTCCGTACACTTCCTTGAAGCCTATAACTATACAAATTACAACTGACTGCACTGGCTTATTACATTGATTAAAGTAAATTTGTAACTAAACCTTTACTTTTATAGAAACTTCTAAAAAAATTCTGTACACTTCCTTGAAGCTTATAACTTTACGAATTACAACTGACTGTAAACTGGCTTATTGCTGTTGGAATCCTATTCAATCAATATATACATGGACCAAATTATCAATGAGCGGTGGGTGCTTTGTTGCTTTCCACAACTGCAGCTCTACACTGCGATTTAGATTGCATTGCAATCTGTTCTGCATGCTTCTTCAGATCCCTGCAAATTTGTCAAAAATATAAAGGAATAAATATTTATAAACAATTTAAGGCAAAATTGACTGTAGGTAGTGAAATGTAAAAGTAACACACTTGCAGCGGGGGATGCGACATTCTGAATCTCTACAATTCCTAGAGTGTGCAGTTATTCCCAGCCATGCCTTCATACAATATTGGCAGCCCCCAGAAACGCGAATAGCGCACCTACTTGCATGAGAGAACAGCTTTTTAATTTTAAGACAGTGAGGGTAAGAGCATGGTTGAGTTCTGGTTGAGTGACATTGCGATGCGTGCAGCATAACTTCCTGTAGTTCCTGTATCTGCATGACAATTACATGGTAAGGCAGCAAGCATGCATATCATCACAAGAATGGAAAATAAAATAATAAAATCCGAAAAAAAGAAAAAGAAAAGAGTAGGTGTGAACAACAATCTAGAAGAAACAAGAGACAGAAACCATAAAGTCTGGGAAAAGGTTCATTCTCGTACCAACTTCTGCTTTGACCCTTTGTTCCCTGAGGGACATTGTGCTCTTGAATAACTTCGACTCAACTTGTGTACATGGCAAATAGCACCTCTCTCCTTATAGCATGAAAAGCAGACAGTGAACTCTGGGCAAATCTCACATTTCCAGTTCCAATGCAATACATTGCGTTTAAAACAGATGCTACATATTGTTCCAACAGTCAGCAGAGTAGGATTCTTTAGATGATAGAGTATCATCATTGAAGAATACTTGGCTCGGCGGAGTGTGTCAAACTGAAACAGTTTCTTTTGGCAAAAGCTCAAAAAGTTCTGCCTATCCTCAAATAACCCATTATCAAGGATGATATCATTCTCCTTAGTATCAAAAAAGCTATCATTCATGAGGACCTGGAAAGTCACACAATTGAAAAATATAAGTTGTTTCATGAAATCGCTAACGAATGAGAAAATTATATGAATTTAGTTTCAAGTTTAGAAAGGCACCTGGCAAAGTGTATGCTTCTCGCCACCAATAGAAATGTGTGAGTCAGCAGTATGGCATCTGAAATATTAATATGAAAAGTAACTGACATAAGACATTTTTGTTTCTTTTCAAAGCAGAAAAGAAGCATGCAACATAGCATAGGGGGAAAAGGATGGGAAAAAGAAAAAAGAGAAGATACCTAGAGAAACATTATAATAAAATTCAATTGACATATCCTACATTTCAGTTCCTTGCGTACCAAATCTTCAACACAACAATCAAAGGGTCGATTATTGGATTGTAACATCGGGAAACAACTAAAATATTACAGCTCCCGTATTACAAGTCAAGTAACTAAGTTTCAATGTCATGAACATTGGATTTTCATTATATGTTCCTGGTAGAAAAAGAATGCTTCATACTTTTGAGAGTTCCCACTAAACATTCTGCTAGCATAATTGGTGCAAAAGAAAAGATTAAATTTCTTAGTGGATCCTTCACAAGGGAAGAGAAAATGAAACTAATCAACTTTCATTAACAAATGATGTATTTAGTCTATATACCAGTGGCAACTTGATGACTAATTTTAATGAGAGATGATATTTATTTAGCCTTTTTTAAAATGACACTTCACACATTTCATACCAGTAGTGAAACTACTAACAGACAAGAATTCAAATTCTTATGTAAACAGCCTCTCTGATTCCAGAAAGCCATCCCAAATCCCCACCAGGTGGGAGCCTCATGCATGGGGTTGCCCTATGAATATATGAACCTATTAATACAAATTACTTGCACCTAGTGATCCATGTAGTTAATCACATCTAGTGAGATAAGGATTTTGTTTTTGTTTTTTTATGTTTGGAAGTGTCTAGGGGAGAAAACGTTGTAACTTGACCAAGTTGTTCAATGAGAGAAAAAAGAATGCAGCAGTGGCACTTCGATAACTATTTACAAGAACGAAGGAGACAAAATCGTGCAAATTGCAAAATACAAAGAAAAGGATCTTGGATCAAAATTCTAATTAAACCAGCACATGAATGACAAAATACCAGGGACAATAGGTAAAACAACAGTTCAAGTAATTGAATTTTAAGCTATCATCACCTTTCACACTCCTGAAATTTCTTGCACTCAGTGCAAAACCATCGCTTCCCTGACCCTATCACTTCATGGCAGTGTATGCATACATAGTGTAAGTGAATCACGATGAAATCTTCCTTGACAGGCAAAATGGTTTGGCCCAGCTAACATACATAGGGGGTAAAAAGAAAAGGAAGAAAGATCAGATAACATCTAAAAATATGAAGAATCAACAAAAATAACTTAAATGCATTTACACAGATATATTCACATTTCAATTATGTATAGAGATATATCACACAGGATGAGATTCATATATGTAAAAAGTAACACTGATAAAATTTGTGACAGAGAAGATCTGCAAACATTTTAAACTACCTATATTGATTCACCAATAAAGAGCTACTATAACAAATGGATGAAGGTGATAGTCAAAGCTGACATACTTTTTGCATTACTAGAATGTTTTTGGCAGTTGCTTTTGAAGGATTTACGTGTCCCATGGCCTTTAAAGTTCTTTTCGATGCTAGTTTCTTCAACATCTTTTCATACTCTCCCCTACTTTCGTGTTCAATTTTCCTGGCTATATCCATAGCAGCACCAGACCAGTAGTCTCCATCAAAGTAAGGCAAACAAGCAGCTGATACTTTGGAGTCACAATCTCCAGTAGGAACAAAGAAATGATCATACATGTCAGTTAAACCAACAACAATATTTTCTTCAGCAGCCTTTCTTAGCATTGAATGATACCTGCATAAATTAAACAAACAATATATATATAATCACTCAATGGTTATATGGCAATGCTGATTTTCCAAAGAATCGATGAAAATACAGAAGCAATTTACTCCTATAACAATACAGAAGTACAATACTAATGAGTTATTGGGATATGGCTGAAGAAATGTATACTGAGGCACATGAAATTCAATACTAACTTCAGGAGAAAAAAAGACAGACCAGTTCCGTAGTTTATCCTTCTTTGGAGTTTTTTGAGTGTCAGGATGACAATATAGTATATAATCTTCCCCCTTTAAAGGTGGACAAGCCCATAGGTAGCAAGTTGTGAAACCTCGTTTCTTGCAAAAATAAAGGTATCCAATCTGATGATAGAAAGAGAAAAATTAAAACATGCATAGAACGAATGGAAGGTTTCAAACATTCAGTGTCCCAGTTAATTGACATAATAAATGAACCCAAGCTGAAATGTGGTCCAAGAAAAACAGAGAGCAATTAACAACAGAATTTATAAGCAACTTACCAATATCTCATGGTAAACGAAGGTACGAAGGGCTTCTCCAGTCGTAGTCTCTCTTTTAGGCCTAAAATACTTCACAGAATCAAGATATGAAATATATACGCTTCCCCGATTTGGGTAGCCACATCCTGAGCCAAACTCCTGGACATACATTCCAAAAAGGCATACATCTACTCCTTCAATCTGCTGAAACAGAAGAATAACCTGAAACAGATGAAACTGCTGTCACCACTTCTGAATAACACAAATGCTGGAGATATCAGGATATACTAGTTATTAATTAAAACTCTTAACTTACTTTTGATGTATAAGAAAACTCAGCAGGGTAATCCTCCTCCGAAAAGATGTCCAGAAATTCTTTCTTCACTTTCAATTGTTTGTCGACACATAGCACTACCCTAACAGAAAGATGTTCTGCAACCAAAACCTAAAAATTTGGAGTCATACAAAGCAAATCAGAAAACATATAATTTTTAAATTAATGTCTGTAAAACTTTAAAGGCTATAGGAAGAAATTGATTATATGAGGATAATATTGTATGTGTGAAAATATGTAAACTGCAGCCTTTTTTCTGGCTGAAGAATAGCTATTTTAATAGAAACTTGTTTCTTAGTACCAGAGCTCCTTTAGGATATATTACTAATTTACTGCTATTTCCAATTTATTGGCTTGCATAAGAATAAGAAAATGTAAAAAGCTAGAAGTTTACACATATGCACACTAATGCTAAAACATAGGCATTCAACCTCTTCAATTGAACAGCATTCTTCATCTTACCTCATCAAGATTCTTATTCCCTTCAACTTTTGCCCAATCTTCTCTCTCTTGCATGAGACGCTTAAAAAGTCTTCTTTCTATATGGTCACTAAGCATGGTGCTTGGCAAGTCTTTAGCACCAAATGCAGCAGTTTTGGGTAAGGGCACATGCATTCCATTTTCAATTTCCTTTAAGCGACAAATAGGGCATATATACTCAGCACTTTGGTCAAAATCTCTTTCAACATTATAGAGGGCACATATCTGATGCTGCCAGCTTTTGCATGTATTACATTGAACCCACTGGAAGAAGCAGCAGTCATAAAAAGTGAGTTTAAAATGCTCTATATGCAGCTGAATTATAGTAGAGTAGTCGTTAAACTTACCGGTTCATCTGATGGTTCACTATTTGTCTTTTTATCAAGAAGTGACTTGGAAACAGATGTCCCATTGAATGTGATGTGCCCTCCTCGAGAATTTCTATAGCACACAGTGCAAAAGCAATGTTGTGTATCAGATTCTTCTGCTCTGCTACAGTAATAGTTTGCATTTTGCTTGATGCGGGTGTTACAACATAAGCAATAAATTGGCATTAGGGCAAAATAAAGCTGTCCCATTTCACATAATTGGCATATGTAAGCAGCATTTTCTGATTCTTCATCTGTTCGACTCTGTTAAAGGAAGCATCAATTTGTACATGCTTAGAAAAATTCAAAAGCAAACTTATAAAATATAGACATGCACATGTACAAGGTATAAGCCCATCATTTGCCTATGGAGTTGGTCCTTAATATAATTCAATTTTGTTTTGGGCAGAATATTTTTAGTCCCACAAATTAGGTTAAATTTGATTCTAGTTCTCCAAATATTTCATTACATAATAGAATATTATCTGAAGTCTTTCTTCTCTCTATTCTTTCTTCTCTCTATTCTATCCAGTAGGCATGCTTTTATAAAATTAGCATCACATTATAAGAATGTAACCTTAATGGTGAATAGGAACAGAAGAAATTACAAAAAAATTAAATATAAAGAAAGTTTAATAAAGGTTATACAATCATTACTAACGTACATAGATATAGAATCCCAGATTGCCAATAGACCTGAAAACACACACATATATATACAAATTATTGTAAAAACAAAGCATGTCAGAAAGAAAAATTATGGTGAAGTAGGTGCATAGCAGTCTAAACTATTCCGTTACAAAAAATTAAATCCTTGTTAATATTACAGAGTAATTTGTGCAGTTTTAAAAGCAAATAGAAAACAATCACAATGAAGATTTCAATGCTAAAGATACTCATAAAAATACCTAAACAGATCAAGACAAAGGAAAACAGTGGAAGATGGTGTACTAACCTGAACAAACTGCCTTCTTAGACTCATAATGTGATCCATTAATTGATTACTTGTGAAAAAATCTGTTAAGGAAACAGTATCAACCGTTGGATTCGAGGACCTTGTTTCCTTCTCTTGATCAGCTTTTGGGTCAATGATTTTCTTTGTAGCATTTACCCCAGCCTTGTCGAACCTGGTTCTACCTTGTATGTCCTCTATATCTGCAGGCCAAAGTTCTTTGCAGAGAGAATGCATATTGGAATTGGATCCAACAAAAGTTTCTTGTAAGTTGTTGTTGGCTTTCACATCATGGCTTTTGAGGTCTAATTCCTCTGATATATGATCAGCTTCTAAGCCTTTAGAGATAACTGTTTCCATCTTAAAAGTCTGCCCAACTGTATCATCAATCACATTGTCCTCTATATTTGCAGGCGGTTCTTTGCAGAGAGTATGCATATTGGAATTGGATCCAACAACATTTTCTTTTAAGTTGCTGTTGGCTTTTGCATCATGGCTTTTGAGGTCTAGTTCCTCTGATATATGATCAGCTCCTAAGCCTTTAGAGATAACTATTTCCATCTTAAAAGTCTGCCCAACTGTATCATCAATCACACTGTCCTCTATATCTGCAGGCAGTTCTTTGCAGAGAGTATGCATATTGGAATTGGATCCAACAACATTTTCTTCTAAGTTGTTGTTGTCTTTTGCATCATGAATTTTGAGGTCTAGTTCCTCTGATATATGATCAGCTTCTAAGCCTTTAGAGATAACTGTTTCTATCTTAAAAGTCTGCCCAACTGTATCATCAATCACACTGTCCTCTACATCTGCAAGCAGTTCTTTGCAGAGAGTATGCATATTGGAATTGGATCCAACATTTTCTTCTAAGTTGTTGTTGGCTTTTGCATCATGGCTTTTGAGGTCTAGTTCCTCTGATATATGATCAGCTTCTAAGCCTTTAGAGATAACTGTTTCCATCTTAAAAGTCTGCCCAACTGTATCATCAATCACACTGTTCTTTGTGTCAATGTTGCTTATAGAATCAAGCATTGGATTTGTAAATTGTTCCACATTACACTCTGTAACTTCAGAATAGATAGAAGAGAGAGAAGATTCCTGGTGCTGCTGAAATTCTGAAAGTACTTCAAAAGAATGAGGTTGAACCATCTTCGGAGTCAATTGATCAGAAAGTGCATTATTAATTAAAGAGACATCAAAAGCATACTCCATTTTTTGTCTTTTGGTAGTTGGTAGCATGGCTTTAGAACCAACAGAAGGGGCATCATTTTCTCTCGCAACAGAACCTATGGTTACACTGTTTGGAAATTCAGATTGACGCTCCAGAATATCAGTACCGCCCAATTTCCAGGAGTAACATATATGACAATCATCACGTCGACAACCATCAAAATGTAATAACAGCTTGCTATACTGTTCACAAGCGCATGTCCCTTTGCAACAAACTGCTGAATGCAAATATTTCAAAACATTAGCCTGTGAAACACTGTTTAGATTCTTGTGAAAATATGCAAGCAGGATCCTCTGTGTAACTGGGACTTGGGAACTACTATAAGAATTCATATTAGCAGATCCATCTAAACCATAAAGATATGCTGAACTTTCTGAAGTGAACTGTTCATTCCCATTAAGAAGTATTTTAAAACACTGAGGCTGTTTCAAAGATTTCTGTCCCAACATTTGACAGGAATGTTCACCTTGATTGACAAAGCATGAACTAGGATGGGTCATATAAATGTTACCACGAAGCTCATATGGCTGTATAGAATGATTGAGACTCTGTTGAATATCAAGCTTCTGGTGTTGGTATTGCCTTGTATCCCCAAGGCTGCTCAATCCAGGAAGAAGATTGGAAACTTCTGAAACTTCCCTTGAGGCATGTTGAGGGGTCAGCAACTTTGAGGATTCAAAATTTCCCATCATATTAAGAAAAGCCATTGAGTCATCTTTTTGCATAGTCCCTGAACAATCTCTATATTTTATCATCTGCATCTCCACTGCCAAAGTAGTTAATTAAATGGTAAACAATACATTATATATAATAACAATAGTTCAAGCAAAAAAGAGATAAGGAAAAACAAAATTAAAAACAAAAATCAGAAGTGCACATATATGGGGATTGAAACTTGAGACAGCACAAGACTCATTAAACATACCATTGTCTGCCTGTTGCTGAGGAAAATAGGAACTAATTGACTTGGAGCTAGCTTCCAGATTCCTTCCCCCACCAGATACAGAGAAGTTAGAAAGCATTTCCTTATCAGTGCATGCAGGGATTGATGAACAGGCATGAGGTGAAAAAACCGGTTGATGAGATAGCCCTCCTTTTGGTAAGCCAGATTTATTATCTACAGCCACTGCAAAATCAGTGGCCCCAGTGATAGGACCAGCCACTTGACGAGAAGCAGGTTCCAGTAGAGTTCCGTTAGACCATGCATGCAATAACACAGAAGAGGGCATTGCGTTAGATGTGTTAGTAATAGAGCTATCTGCTTGTTGACTGTATTTAGTTGCATGCAACTTATTGAGTGGAGTTTCCAATCGCTTTATCAATGTCTCCAGGTTCATATACTCCTCCTGCCAAATATGTAGAAAGAAAAATCATCAATAAATAGCCAGGATGCTTACCTAACTAGATAGAACTTGCATTTGATCCTCCTATTGCCTTTTTAACAAATGAAAACCCCATATTCTCAGACACAATTCAAAAAACAACCTTTGAAGCAGCATCAATAAATAGCCAGTTTTCCAGAATATTTGCAATATCATATGCTTGCTGCTCTTGCTCATAATGGATTCCGGAACTGAAAATTGCAAAACTGATATAAAATTTAGTTAGTCTCAACTCAATGACAATCTTATGTTGAAGAAAATGCCATCACTATTGATTTCAGCATCTTTGTATCATGCAGGGATAAAAGTTATACAAGTTCAAGTTAATATCAAAACTCATATCACTTACATTTTATTTCTAATCAAATAACGGAAGTGGATGACTCCAGGTTGCTTACGCCAGTCTGTGGAGACTCCTACTTGATTTCTTATACATTGATGGCTTAAATCAAAACCACTTTGCTGAGGAAGGTCACAGAAAAATGGCAAAGAATTTCCTTGCATTTGTCTGCAGGTATTCCCAAGATTAGAAGCCTTGGCATGCATCTTCTTACTTTATCAGAAACTATCCTTCTGCAGGCACTATAAGCCGCTAGAAATTATTAATGTGTTAGTTAGAGAAAATGTATTACATGTTCTTGATATGATATCTTAACCCAGAATACGAAAGCAGGATTATCAAAAATTTAAACAAGCTCATAATTAAGTTTACACACTCAAAAACCAATGTGAATAGCAATTAAAATAATTTAAAATTCAAAATTTAACGAAGAAGCCATATCCATCTTGAAACGGCATAAAAACAAAACAGACACAAAATTGGATTATCAAAAGTCAAAATTTTAGAAAGAAAAACTCATGATTCAAGTTCAACACATGATAAAATCTAAGATGACTGCCTAATGTATATGGCACCCCTTCAATAATTCAGCATCGAAAGTCATTATGTAATTTTGAATCACCCTCAAGGGACATATTTAAAAATTATTATTAGCGTTTCAATTTTAAAGAAGAAAATTTTTCGTGGTTCCAAACATTCTTGCAGTGGTAAGTAGTAGTCCCATACGGGCAGTAAGGAAGAAATATGCTTTTCACACTTCTTTTTCTACATTAAAAGAATGAATGTTTTTTTTTATCAATTGCCTCTAGTTTAGATTAAGATTGCATAGTCATGAAATGAAGTAGTAGATTAAATCCATCGTAAGTAAATTCAAAAGGATGAAGCTTGTTACTAAGATTCCAACAAGTATAAGAGAAAAATATCGTTGAGACACACAAGTCAGAAGCATGGTTATGACGATTGGGTAACATCTATCACGAGGACATAGATACACATCAGACATGTGGATTGGGGTCTAACAATAAAACTATATATATCCATGCCGGACAAATTGAAACTTTTCTTGACAGAAAATTGTTGTATGGTGACAGTCAGAATGCCAGTTCGTACTCGACAATTTAGAGTTCCTACTGTTTGCTACTTTGCCCTAGTTAGGCAATGACACGAAATTACAAGCTATTTTGTATATTTTTCAACTGATGGAACTAGCAGTTTCTTATGAGTATATTAAGATGATAGGAAATTATAAGAGGTTACAGTTAAAGCAGCGGAAATAATACCTCAAATCTTGTAACGATTCAGAGGAGTAATAACAAAAAAAAAATAGGCACCAAGATTTTTAATAATAAATTTTTATTTCAATTTAAGAAAAGTATAATAAATGTTATAATTTTGAATAAAAAATTATTATTTTTAAATATTTAAAATAGAAAGATATTTAACAAAATCGATTAAAGTACACTCCGCGGGGCCAGATTATTAATACTCAATTATACAACCATAGATAAAGTTACCTGCGTCTAAGTTACAAAAAGAAAACTAAAAGAGCAAGCAACACTGATTTACGTTCAAGATTCACTAAATTCGCAGAAAAAGAAACCGCTTAATTAGGTTAAAAATTCGAAGATTTTATTTTAAAAATACGACAACGATTGGTATTAAATTTATGAGACATGAATTAATTGAACTCGTTTATCATTCACTTGATCAATCAAACAAGCACCATCGTGAAAATCAATCAATTAATTACCCAATTAACTGCGAAGCTTAAATCAAGAAGCGCGATCGAAGCTAATTGAATATGGATTAGGGTTTGGGAAGAACAATAAAGACTCAATCAAACAGTAAAATTGGTGAGCACGAAACCCCAACCAAATAAACAAATGATAAACCCTAACAGTGAAAGAGAGAGAAAGAACCTGTGAAGTGAGGTTGCTTTTTGTTTGCTTGCGTCTTTTTCTGTGATTCTGTCTCTGTCACGAGGTACGGAACTCAGGGTTGTGGGTGGTGGTGGGCCAATATGTTTATATTCTGTCTCTGCTATATTTGTAAATAATTACTTATTTAGGTCAATGCTTCCGCTTCGTCAAATGTTTTCGCTTTTAAATTTTGAATTCTTATCATCCCATGATGTTGCAGATTTTATTATTATCAACTTAGGATTTTGTTTCTCATATTATCTTTACAATCGCAGTAATCCAAATCCAAAGACTTTCAAAAAGTACTTTTTCTTTTAAATATTTTCACGTTTCTTAAATCAAGATATTTGTTCACTTATTTATTAATTTAGAGTTTTAAGATATTCTTTTCTTCTGACTTTTTAGGTTTTTAAATATATAAAACTGATGATTTGTGTGATAATTTTTATTTAAATATTTAAAATGATAATATGTTATTTCTATACTTTATTTTATTTTATCATTATATTTATTGTTATTGCAAATAATTTGTGTGAATAATTTTTATGAAAAATCACAAATTTAGTTTCATAAAAATAAACTAAGATAATTATTATTATTATTTTGGAGTAGTTATGTGATAACATAAATCTTAAGTGAAAGTGGATTCATTTATTTTTCAATATACACAATGATAAGTTAATGTTAACTGAGTAGTAGATTTATCTTATTTTGATAGTTTGTTGTGTAGGTACACTGCTAAATTAAGAGTGAGTTTTTTCTAAAATAAAAAAAATTAAATAATTATTTTCCAACTTAAATTAATCTTTTTGAAATTTAAACTATTTTTCAAGCTCAGATATTTTTTTAAAGAAAAGTTCTTTTCAAAATTTAAGATGAAAAATTAAATCAATTTTTTTTTATGTGTGTGTAAGAGAGATTAATATATTTTTAATGTTGAATTGGGATTAACTAAGATAAAAATAAAGCATTATACCTGTTATGAGACATACAATGCATTATAAACATATGATAATTACATAACTTTGATTTTTCTATTGCATGTGATAATAAGAGCGAAAATTGAATCCATGAGTTAAAAATATTTTATAATTTTTTTCTTAATTCTAAAACATCAATTTTAAACACTTTTTTTTTTAATCTAATTTTAAATTTTTAAAAGACTAAAAAATAATTTAAAATTTTTCTTCTTTCTAAAAAAGAAAAATAAAATTGTTACTTTTTCTTAATTTTATTAGAAAATTAAAGTATCAAATAACTTTTTAAATTTATTTCTTTTACCCAAAAATAAAAAAGAATATTACTTTTATAAATAATTTATTCCTCCAATTGAAATTAAAAAAAAATTCTAAAATTATATTTCTTTACTTAAAAAAATAAAAAAACTAATTTTTTTAAATTATAAAATTTAGAATAAGACAAATAAGATAAGAATAAATTTATAAATGGAAAAAATTATGAATTATTATTTTAGAGTAAATCCAACATTTATTCAATCGTTTTCAGTTCTTTTGTTGTCTTCTATTTTTTTTTAAAATTATTTTCATCGTGATCCCAATTGTAACATTATTTATTTCATATAAATTAATAATTAAAATGATAATTTAATTTTAAATTTTTATTTTTATTTAGTAATTTTTGCAAATATTTATCCGTTATTATATTTTAGGTATATGTTCATAATTATATATTTTTAATTTTTTTGAATAAACGATCTATCTGTAGTAATGTGTATCCTTGAAAAATTCATGGAAAAAAATAGAGTCTCTGATGTTAGCAACGCTGTTATATTTATAATTACTTATTTAGGTCAAATGCTAGCATGAACCAACAACACGGGAGTCTCAATCAAACGCGCGTTTTCGTCCGCGTTTTGTCAAACTTTTCATTTTTAAAGTTGAATTCTTATCATCCCATGTTCTTGGCGTGTAATTTTATTATTATCCATTTTCACATTTCAGTTGAAGTATGACAAAGTGTGTTAAACGAATATGATATTTTTGTCACTCATTTATTTTGTGTTTTAAGATAACCTTTTCTTCTAACTTACCTGCTAGGATAACTTTTTAGAGGTTTTAAAATTTTTAACTTTTTAAGTTGAATTTAAATATTTAAAAATGAAATTTTGTTATTTAAGGATATTTATTTTAAATTTTAAATGTTTAATGTTCATTTTAAAACTACCTAGAATTGTTATAACTTAATTCCACAACTTAATAATCTTAATCAGTTCAATAAATATTATCTTTTATTAAAAATACTTATTATAAACTAGTAAATATATCTTTGTGTTGTACGAGTTTGTTTTATTTTTATTAAATTAATTTATTTTAAAATATAAAATATATAATTTAAATATAAAAATATATAAATATAATAAAAAATTTATTATATTAAATATAAATAATTGAGGAAGATTATGAAATACTTCCTTATATACAATATTTTTTGTATATCCTATATATTTGTCATCCTCTTCAATAATAAGGATTTTTATTCCTTTTGCTAACATTATTCTAGGCAATGCAACATATAATTGACCATAACTAAATACAGGTTTTGACAAATATAATCCAACATAATTTAACGATTGTCCTTGACTTTTGTTTATTGTCATTGTATAACATACTTTTATTGGAAATTGTTTTCTTCTTAAAAGGAATGGCCACTTGGAGTCACTTGCTGTTAAAACTATCCGCGGAATAAGTATTTTAGCACAAATGTTGCTTCCTGTAATTATTTTTGCTTCAATTATCCACTCTCCTAAACGTATGATAAGAAGTCTTGTTCCATTACACATTCCTAATGCTGGATTGATGTTCCTAAGTAGCATAATTGACATTCCTTCTTTAAGTTGCAAGCAATGGGGAGGAAATCCATTGAAATTTAAAGTATTCAAGAATTCTACGGGATACATAAGCTCTTGCTCAATTATTTTATCAGTTGCTTTGTCAATCTTGTCAGAGCTTCTGTAATACTTTATTGATCCTTCAACCATGTTTATGATATAATTATTAATATCATCAACAATATCATTTAAAGGAGTAAGTATGACCCTCTCTTGAAGGTATTTTTCATCTCGCATTTGTTGTTGAAAATTTGGATATGTGCTTTCAAAAATTTGCTTGAGTGAATCCTCCATTGGCTTAAGTAGATGTTGGCTTGGAATTTTTATCCACATAGGAATGTCTTCTCCTTCTTTCCTATATATTGGTATGTTTCCATCTCCAACTTGTATGAGCCATTTATTAAATTCATGTGCCAAGGAATTTTCCTGACTTGAAGAGGAGTTGTTGAAAATTCTCATACTTCTAGACAACATATGAATTTTGCAATGATCCCACAAATACGACTTATTAATGCATGCTTGAACTATGTCTTGTCGTCGTCCTTTTGGTATTACGGGTAATATTTATCTAAAATCTCCTCTAAGAAGTATTATTTTTCCTTCAAATGGCTTAGACGTACTGTTAAGATATTTATAACCCACAATATCTTTGAGGGACCTATCAAGAGCCTCAAAAACCAATCTATTTATCATTGGTGCTTCATCCCAAACAATGAGATCTGTTTGAATTATTAACTGAGCAAGCTGAGTATTTTGTTTGATTGAACATGTGCTCTCTTCAAAAAGATCTAATGGTATTTGAAATCTACTGTGAGCTGTTCTACCACCGGAAGCAATAATGATGC